GGTATCGCTACTCTCATTATTGGTCCTGAGGGGTTTATCTGTCCTGGATTCCCTGTGTTTCCAGCTCTTATCTGTACCAGTGTACATCCTCTGGTCTAGCAGGATTCCAGCTCTTATCTTTCTTTACCAGTGTACATCTTCTGGTCTAGCTGGATTTGTAAGGTAGAATTGGGTACATGATAGCGGAGGGGAGAAAGCATTTTAAGAACTGGAGGAAAGTTATGAGATTCGTCGTTGCTACACTGCACCCTGACAAGCTCGTCTCCTCCCCGTGACCCGTCTGTAAGGGGATGTCCAGTTGCCTACAGATGGGCTTTGGATCGCCACTCCAAACCCCCCCTCATTCACAATACAATTTTTTTGTTCTTTGATGCCTGCCTGATACCTAATTCCATCAACACCTCATGATCATACAAGCTGGTGTGCTTCTTCCATGTGGGCTTTGTTGCTTCTCAACTAGATGGCCCCTTGTTTCTCTTCAAGCTTTTGAGACCCCAGACACATATAGCCAGGCACCATCAGCTTTCTTCACCACATTTGCTAATGCACCTACTTTGTCTTCAGGGATTATGTTGGGAACGTGAGCATCATGGAATGCCAGTTGAATAGAACAAAGTGTTCTTGCATTGAGGGAGTCCTTGAGTAGAGGCCCAATGTCCATCTGCTACCTTAATACTAAACCTATAAGTAAATGCACATAGATCTATTTCCCTACCCTTATATATAAATATCTTTACATATGTACATGCCTGTACACCAGCAGTTCTCAGCTTGTGAGTCACGACCCATTTGGGGGTCAAATGACCCTTTTCACAGGGTTGCCCGATTCATAACAGTAGCAAAATTAGAGTTATGAAGTAGCAATGAAAATAATTTTGTGGTTAGGGGGTCACCACAACATGAGGAACTGTATGAAAGGGCTGCAGCATTAGGAAGGTTGAGAACCACTGCAGTATTTAGACCTCTGAAAATACCTTTTCCCTCCTACCTCTTTCCTCTATTTCCTTTTACTTTCCTCTTGTCTCACTATTAAGCTCAGCCTTCATTTGGATTTCAGTAATCCCTCTCGGTTACACTGCCCCTGATCAAGCCCTGCCAAGCTTCCTACAGCCTCCTCGCCATCAATTTTGGATCACTTGTTGTTCCCTTGTCCCTGGGCTTGTTAACACCCACTTCCTTTCCCCCACCTCTCCCATGTCCACCCAGAACAATTGTTCCCATTGCTTTCTCCTCCAGATTGTTTATCACACCTATCTTATCTAGATAGACCTGCAGAGATAATAATATACACGGAAAACATGACAAGGCAAAACAAAAAGCAACAAAAGAAAATAGCAACAACAGAAAACCAAGGACAAAAAAATAGTTCAAGGTCTGTTTGTTGACCCTTGGGACTGTTTTCCCATCGAGTCTGATGGGGCGCAATGCCCTGGCCCCAAAGTCTGTTTTTGGTATTCCATGGAGACTTCGTTGCTCTGCTCCCCTTGCTGTTGCACACCTTTAGTGTTTTGGTTTGGTGTATATAGCTGAATTTTAAAGTCACTGGTCTAACACCTCAGTGCAATTCTAAATATGCTTGAGGCAATATTATTCCAAAGAGTTCAGACAAAAGTTCTAAGACAGAAAACAAAAAGATGTCTCAGTTGCAACTGTATTCTCTCTCACTATTACTTAGGATCTGCAGATAACTTTATGCTACCTTAAGATTTTTCCGGCACTTCATCAGTTTTCTGAGTTTTAGGTTTGGCCACATACTTGTAATACTCAGTTACAGTGTAACCAGATAAGTAAACCCAAAAATTAAGTAAAATAAGAAACAGAAACTAAACAGAATCATGCTAGGAAAGACAGAACAACATGGAAAATTAAGTGTCTCCAAATTTATAACCTTCTCTTCAAGAAATAAATAAAAATAAGATGTATACATCCTGAATAAATTTCAATAGACCATATCATTATAAGCATCTTAAAATTGCAGAGTTAAAAAACAAACCCTGCTCCGTACCTGGTAAAGTCTGGTGGGACAGGAGTGGTGACGAAAGACGCCATGGGCTTTCGATGCACTTGCTGGAACATCATGAGGATCTCTGAACTTTCAGATATCAACTCACTCTTACTGCAAGACCGCAACTGTACAACAAAAAATAACTATCCAAATGAAGTTATTATTCATATGAACCTCACTATTCTTAATAAAGAAAGTAGGAATCATTCTGGTTATATTACGGAGGGGGAGGGGAGGAAGGAAGTGGAGGAAAAATACAGTAACTAAGTGAAATTTAAAGGTAAGAATTATTAAGACCATAAATGTACTCTCATTGTTAACAGTAAAATCACAATATAAGAGCATTTGTTTTTCATGAATGTTTCTTCACATATTAAGATATTCAAATGTTAAGCAGCTGTAAGTATGTGTAGGATTCCTGGTGGCTTCGTGGTTATGCATTGGGCTGCTAACCACAAGGTCAGGACTGTGAAACTAGCCACGCTCCTCGGAAGGAAGAAGAGGCTTTCTACGCCTGTAAGGAGTTAGTCTCGGAAACCCACCGGCACAGCTCTACCCAAACACTAAATCAACTGTAAAGGCAAAATACAAATATTTTGAGACATGAAGTCTGAAAGAATTTGTTCTGATTTCTCTTTCTGGAGGAACTACGTATCAAAAATAAAGGAGAGATCCAAGAGAGTAAAAAAACTAGGAATACAACCCAAGAACTGTGTGAAGGGAATCCTTAAGACGATGATTAAGAAAGTGACTGCAACAAAACACTGTGTATTTAAGAAATTTAAGAATTCCAAAATAGACAAAAAGCAGTTGAATATACAAAATACTTATGTAACATACACACTTTATTTACTTACTATGTTCTGTGCTTCTTCTTTACTTCAATCTAGAATATCAACTGCTGGAAGGGATTTTTTTCTGTTCCCCTTTGACTAATAGCTGTATCTTAACTATCTGTAAGATTGCTGGCCATGTATTTGGCACTTAGTAAAAATTTGCTTAATAAATATAAACACTTAATTTTGAGCTAAGCATCACTATACAGTACAATTTCAATTTTTTATAGATCAACAGAGTTTGATGAGTTATAACCAGTAAAATGAATCCTATTCTTACAAAGGTCTAAACTGTATTTATGTAGTTCCCCAACATGATGGAAAAGGGAAAAATCTTAAGAATCAGATGATTTCTTTTTCGTAAAAATTCCCATATCTTATACAATTTCTGACAAAATAAACTTTAAAGGAAAACAGATAAATATGGATAAAGACCTTATTTCATTTTATATTTAATATGTTATCACCTGATGCTCCACCTCCTGAAGTAAGGATTCCAACAGTTCTGTTTCCTGTGTGAGAGATGTCTTCTGACCTGTTTGGAAATAGCAAAACACCAACATATAGGCTCTTAACTCATTAAAGGTGCAATTAACTTGCACTGAACATTATATACAAGGAATTCGTTTCAAGAAAACAAAAAGTTTCATTATAGATATCCTAAAGAATGTCCTAGAACTTGAACAGGTTGAATCCAACATGTAGATGCTCTGAAAAGATGACTCCAGGGCCAACTTCCCTACAGTTTGGTGGGGGGGGGGGGGATATGCAGTGTAGCTCTACTAAATGTTCACTGACTATATTTGGAAGCAAAAACTCTTTTCCTAGGTCCTTATGTTTTAAGAAGCAATTTTTTTTAAAAGAAATAATTTGACATGCTGACAAATCTGACTTTTGGAGGAAGAAAATGAAGGGTGGAAGGCAAATCCCACAATCTGAAGAGCTGGACCACAACCTGTCTGATCAGGTTGTCACAAAGTGGTGGCTTGTGAGCTATTTTACTGCTGAAAACCATGCTACAAGTATTTCAGCGACCAGCAGGGTTACCCATGCTGGGCAGGTTTGGGCGGTGCTTCCATACTGAAACAGACAAGAAAGCCTTGTCATCTACTTTTGACAACTGGCCAAAGGCAACCCCATGGGTCACACTAGAATACTAGTCCACATAGTGCTGAAAAGGAGCCTCTTAGGTTGAAGAGCTCTCCAAATACACAGCAGCCACAGCAATGAATTGGGAAGATAACACAAGACTAGGTGGTCTTGAGAAGGCACTGACTCAAGGACAATTAACCACCACACATTGTTGAAAACACAGGAAATGACGGTAGCAGAGGTGATAAGGATTTGAAGGAGCAGAATTTGATAGAGGAACATCGAAAGATTGAACTTTTGTGCTTAACACCACAACCAGAAGCTTTTGAGTATTAAAAGACATAAAGGCAAAGTTAATTATCATTGGGGATCTAAAATCATCAAAGGTATCTCTACTACCACTCTCTCATTCCAGACTCAGGGGGAGACAAGAGACTGTGGGAAAACCACCCTGGACTTGATTTGAAAATCAGTGGTAGAACTGTAGTTAGTATGCATGAAAGTCTGAAATTGTTAATAAAGTCAGATTCCTGTTTAATTATAAAAGCTATCTAAGAAATCATGAATTGCATTAACTTCTCAGAGAAAAAGACCCTCAAACTCTCTATGGCTTCATGAACTTACAGAATTCTCAAACAGAATAGTCAAGAAAAAATAAGATCATCTACATGTATGTCTGACTGCAGTTAAGAACCTTAAAAAAACGTAAATGATGTAAAATCATCTATATGGTATAGTCAATGCTGAGAGTTTTTCTAAATGTGCCATTGAACAGATTAACTGTTGGACCTAACTAAAAAATTTTCAAGACCATTTGCTGCCGAATCTGTGAGCAAAAACTGAAATTCGATTATATTTATAATATTAAAATCGTGAAACAATATACAAATATCTAAGTTCAAAAATATCTGCATCCTATCAAAATAGTTAAAAATAAAGGTGATAAAGCAAAATTTTATTTATTTACTTATTTCTTTATTTTTATGCCCTCTCATATTCATTGCAGTACAGTTCACAATAGCAAGAAGCTGGAAAAACCCAAATGATGCCCATCAGTAGAAAGTAGATTAAAAAAAAACTCTGGTATATATACATACTGGAATACCTAGAAAATAACAGTGATACCATGAAACACCTCATGACATGGAGGGAACTGGAAATTATTCTGCTGATCAAAGTTAGTCAAACACAACAGGATTAATATTGTATGAAACCACTACTATAAGTATAAATACCAAGACAAAGGCAGACATCTGTTCTCAAATCATGTAATCTAACCTGGTGTGTCCCAAGCAGTGAGGCAGGGTGAATCCCTAATTCTCATGATCCACATATCATCTCCTTATTTGTCTATCTCAAAAACCACTTCAACAGAGGAGGCTTCACCCCAGTTGAGGTCAGTTTCTCATGTTCGGGGGAGAGGGGATAAAGCAGAATTTTAGACAGCACAAGGAATGGCTGGCTCTAAAGCCTTGGAACATCAAGAAATCAAATGTAAAATTTTTTACTTACACTAGTATATCTAACTCATGTTAAACTGTAATATAACACTAGCTTCAACAAAACAAAACAATGACTACTAAGAGCACAACTTATGCTCAAAGATTACACACACACAAATAAACTTCCATTAAATTTAGCTTTCAACAGACCTTCCCTTAAATCCTGTGTTCAATTCTAGGCTCAAAACAAAACAAAACAAAAAGCATATTAAGTGAATAAAAATGAGGCCTACTAGAAACCAAATAATCAAAACCTAAAGCTCGAAGACCAGGGAGTAATTACACTAATATTTACATATACCATATATACTCTAGTATAAGCCGAGTTTTTCAGCACATTTTTAATGCAGTTTTTGTGGTAAAATTAGTTGCCTCGGCTGATATTCGGGTCAGCTTATACTCAAGTATATGTGGTACCAACTCTCCATCATCAATGAAGATGAACTAGAAAACAAAAAAAGAGAGAGATTTATAGCAATTTATTTGGAATTGAAAGAAAGAACATTACCTCACAATTAGGTCCATTAGCCATTAAGATTACTTACCCAAAGGAGTGCTGGTGGCACAATAGGTTAAGCATCGGGTAGCTAACCCCAAAATGACTTTCCAAATGGCCAGGAAACCTTTTATTTTTAAATCATTTTATTAGGGGTTCGTACAACTCTTATTACAATCCATACATACATACATACATTGTGTCAAGAACATTTGTACATTTGTTGCCACCATCATTCTCAAAACATTTTCTTACTACATGAGCCCTTGGTATCAGCTCATTTTTCCCCCTCCCTGACTCATGAACCCTTGATAATGTACAGACAGTTATTGTTTTTCAATGTCTTGCACTGTCCAATGTCTCCCTTTAACCCCTTATCTGGTGTCCATCCTCCTGGGAAGGGGTTATAGGTAGGTCATTGTGTTCCCACTTTATCCCCCAACCTTCCCTTTACGCTCCTGATATGACTACTCTCAATATTGGTCCGGAGGAGTTTATCTGTCCTGTTATTCCCTGTGTTTCCAGCTCTTATCTATATCCATGTACATGCTCTGGTCTAGCCAGATTTGTAAAGGAAACCTTTTCTTTCTGATCGTTTCCACATATAGGTTAGACATTAGGCTAGGTTTGTAACAAAATGTAGTTACTGTATGTACTTTCATATAAGCCGACCTGAATATCAGCCAAGGCACTTAATTTTAACACAAAAACTGCATTAAAAATGGGCTGAAAAACTCAGCTTATACACAGGTAGATATAGTATATAGTGTCTCAAGATACCTTCCAAACCTAACAACTACTCATCAGACTGACCTTCCAGGAAGCTTTATGCATGCTGTACCCTAGCGGCATACATCACTCACCCATTAGTGTTATAAGCTTGTTCTTCAGCTGCGTGTCTAACCGTGCAATCATCATCTCAACAGCATTCCTAATTTCCCGAACACGCTCATCTTTTGCATTTCTTACAGCTTCTACATTTCTTTCCTAGAATATAAAGAGATAAATAGTATTTTAAGAATTTATAAAACAGAAACCGACATTAATGCAACCATTGCAATTATTCCTAAGTTAGTTGACTTCATTTCCTCTTTTAAAAATTGTTGTTATGTCATAAGTAATCTTTCCTTTAAAAATTCTGACCATTGAACTCAATCAGGGAAAAGGGTCTTAAAAATAATTTATTTTTACATAACAGTAATTTATATGATGTTTTAACAGTTAACCAAAATGGTTTGCAATTACAAAATATCTCAGATAATATATTCACAGTAAAGACGTAATAAAAAAAATATTTTAGAACTACTTCACATCTTCAACAACCTTAAAGCAAAATTAAAAAGAAAAACCAGTATCTACTATAGTGTACAGAAGTACTTTGTTTCTCTTCAAAACTAAATCCCGGGAAGAAAACTGCAGTGTATGCACACTTTGCACTGGCATGCCACAGAAATAAAAAGCAGCCCTTCCTATACTTATTATTATTATGCAAATGCATGCAGTGGGAATGTCAACCCTAGAATCGATCCTTATGACAAACTAAAGGTGATGTAGCCAAGAGAAAACAATAGGAAAAAGAAGTTGTTAAATGACGACCAAAGAGAACATCCAATTTGCAAATGACATATTCCACAATGACTCTGTAGGGTTTTATATATGAAGCTCAGACACTCTTTTCTATATATACAGTAATGTAAATAATTATTTGAATTTGATTTCCAAAAATATGAAACAAAGATGACACCTGTTCTTAGCAATGGTCTACAAAAAGACTATATTCCAAAAGTATACTTACTGCTTGTTTCAAATTTATCACACATTCCTACAGAAATACAACTATAAATAATGGCTTCCTAGAGAACTCACCAAAGCTATTTCACCTAGACAATATCTGAAAAGTAGTGTGATTAAATATTATTCTTTAAACTCTGTAGACAAATGGGTTTAAGTTCCAATTCAGGGCATGGGAAATAGTACATTTCCAGGCAGCACTAACTTTCCCAAGAACGGGACAACCAGGGACTAATTTTGACTCTGTAAAACTCAGTATCTACTGTATTCAGGCGTCAATTATTGACATCATAAGAACAGTCTTATCTTTAGTTTGCAGATCAATCCTCTAGTTTTCCGGCAGACTCCATTGCATCTCGAAGGGTCAAGGATTTGGGTGCAAACTTCACCAGTTAATTTGAAGTTAGTAAGAGACAGAATGATAATTGATACAATCAAATGCTCATATCTTGAAAATCTTGCCTTACAAATGATTGGTTTATATAATAGAATATATATTGTTAGGTTATTACAGAATATAAAAGGGATGATCTTTTAGTAACAGTCTTACCACTTCTTGAACTAAGCTGATCAATTCCATGAGACGCCGACGAAGTTTGGCTACCTCTTCATTCACTTTAGTGACATGCTGCTCATAAATTTCTGTCAAAGGTTTAAAGGTATGTCCACCATGCTGTTAAAAATAATAAGGATTATTTTAGAACATTTTCATATTCTATCTCTGAATTTATATTCCATGTGTAACTCTCTAACACAAATAAACTGGTAAATATTTTAAAATAAAATTGACCTTTTTGGTTTCCATTATTTGTTAAAGTTTGTTCCATGTAGAAATCCCTTCAAAATGTTAGTAAGATAGTTTAACAAAACATCAAAATTGTCTGTAAATCTCAATTCAGTACACAAAACCAAATTCTTGGTTATGACTCAAGTCATCTAGCACTACCCCACCGGCCACTCTACTCCTTGCCAACACCAACCTTGCATGTCCTTAAGCACCCTCATTCAACAATGACTCAAGTTAGATCTTCCCTGCCCTAATTCCATCTCTCAAATAGTCTTTAGTATCTTACCGGAACTTAACTCAGTCTTATAGAGTTAGGTTTATATTCATTCACTATCAACAAAACAATTAAATGCAGAATTAGTTTCTTTCTTTTTCTTTTTTTTTTAGAATTAGTTTCTTATGTCTTGCTCACAATTTTTAGAAGAGCTGAAAGCATTCATAAGACACTTAAGAAAAAGACCCAGGGTACCTAATTAGCAGAAGCAATGAATGCCATTTATCATGTTACACTCTACACAGATGGGAAGCACTTAAAAATTCGTCTTACAAATCTAGTTGTGTTCACAGAAAACATTTTTAGAGCTAGTAACCTAAAAACAGTTGTGCATTTAACTTCAATACTGAAACTAGTAACTCTTTTGATTATTAATTAAGTACATATTATCTATTTTAAAAACAACTTATTTTTAAAATAATTTTAATGGGGGTTTTCACAACTCATCACAATCCACTCATCCATCCACACTGTCAAGCACATTTGTACATCTGTTGCCATCATCATTCTCAAAACATTTGCTTTCTACTTGAGTCCTTGGTATCAGCTCATTTTCCCCTTCCATCCTCACCCCCCTTCGCTCATGTACGCTTGATAATTTATAAATTATTATTATTTTGTCATGTGTTACACTGTCCAACGTCTCCCTACACTCACTCTTCTGTTGTCCATCCCCCGGGGAAGGGGTTATGTGTAAATCCTTGTGATCAGTTCGCCTTTTCTACCCCACCTTCCCTCTACCCTCTCGGAATCGCCACTCTTACCACCAGGCCTGAAGGGTTCATCTGTCCTGAGTTCCCTGTGTTTCCAGTTCCTATCTGTACCAGTGTACATCCTCTGGGCTAGCCAGAATTGTAAGGTAGAATTGGGATCATGATAGTGGGGGGGAGGAAGCATTAAAGAATTAGAAAAAACTTGCATATTTCACCATTGCTACACTGCAACCTGACTGGCTCGTCTCCTCCCTGCAACCCTTCTGTAAGGGATGTCCAGTTGCCTACAGATGAGCTTTGGGTCTCCACTCCGCACTCCCCCTCATTCACAATATGATTTTTTTGTTCTTTAATGCCTGACATCTGATCCCATCAACATATTGTGATCACACAGGCTGGGGTGCTTCTTCCATGTGGGCTTTGTTGCCTCTCAACTAGATGGCCACTTGTTTATCTTCAAACCCTCAAGACCCCATACACTATTTCTTTTGATAGCCGGGCACGATCAGGTTTCTTCATCACATTTGCTAATGCACCTGCTTTATCTTCAGTGAGCGTGTCGAGAAGGTTAGCATCAAGGAATGCCAGTTTAATAGAACAAAGGGTTCTTGCATTGAGGGAGTACTTGAGGGGAGGCCCAATGTAGAAGGACCAATTTCCATGGATACCCAGCAACCTAAAAGCCTACCAACTTCTGCCCCCCACTATGGCATACTTTCCCATCAAGTGTCTGTTGGTTATTCTGAAACCTACTTATGTCAACTGTAGTTATTACTATAAGCATCAATCTACACAAACATTAAATGATGAACCATAACTAAAGTAAAAAAAAACAAAACTTTTTCTTAGACAAATTAACTTGAAAGTCTTAGGCGTTCATAAAGGTTCAACTACTTTTTGAAAGAGCCATTAAAAAAGTTCAGCTTTTTTTGGCTTAAGGATGGAAAAAAGTCAAGAATGGTACAAACACACACACACACACACAACACACTAATGAGAAAGGAAAGTAGGAAAACTCTCAAGAACAAAGGTTTAAGATTACCTCAGAGAGTCCGCAGATGGAAATAATAACACTGAATATCAATGGCCTTAACTCAGGCATTAAAAGACTGAGACTAGCAAACTGGCTTAGAAAACACAACCCATCAATCTGCTGCCTACAGGAGACACATCTCAAGGCTACAGAGAAAAATAAGATGAGAATCAGAGGTTGGAGAAAGTCATTCCAAGCAAAGAGCAGTTCAAAAAAAGCAGGGATTGCAATCCTAATCACGGATAAAATTGACCTCAAAGTGCAAACCATAAAGAGATATGGAGGGACACTATATAATGCTCAAGGGAATGGTAGACAAAGAACCACTAAGCATTGTAAACATATACTCCTGGATGAGAGACCCACTGAATACGTCAAACACTCCAAAAGATGAAAAAAGAAATCACAGACTCAACAATTATAGTGGATGACTTCAACAAACCACTCTCTGAGAAAGACAGATCACAGGGAAAGAAACTCAACAAGGAGGCTACAGATCTAAGCACGATAATTAGACAATTTGACCTGATAGATATCTACAGAGCTTTTCATCCAAATAAAAGTAAGTTCACATTCTTTTCAAGTCCACATGGCACTTATTCAAAGACAGATCACATACTGGGGCATAAGGCGAACCAACATGACTTTAAGCACATTGATATCATACAGACCTCTCTGACCACTGTGCCATAAGGCTGGAAATCAACAAAAGGAAGACAAAGAAATCAAGAGCAAACATTTGGAGGATGAATAACTCTCTACTGCAAAAGTAGTGCATACTGGCACAGATCAGAGATGAAATTAGGAAATTTCTAGAAATCAACGAGAATGAGCACACAATGTACCAAAACTTATCGGACACAGCAAAGGCAGTCATCAGTGTAAGCTTCATAGCAATACATGCACACCTGAGAAAGGAAGAGAGACTCATGACTGATATGCAGGCACAAAATTTACAACAACTAGAGCAGAGTCAGCAGGACAATCCTACTGATAGCAAAAGAAAAGAAATTATAAAAATCAGGGCTGAGATTCAGGACAGGCAAAATAAGAAAACTATGGAAAAAACTAATGCTACTAAAAGTTGGTTCTTTGAAAGGATAAACAGAATTGACAGACCACTTGCAAACCTAACCAAAGAAAGGAGGGAACAAATTTCAATAGCAAGAATAAGGGATGAAAGAGAGGACATTACAACAGACCCTAAAGAAATCAAAAGGATAGTTACACAATACTACGAAGGATTGTATTCCAATGAATTAAACAATTTGGAAGACATGGGCAAATTCTTCAAAAAACAAGCCCTCCCTAGATTATCCTCAGTGGATGTCATGAATCTCAACAGACCCATATCAATAGAAGAAATAGACAAGATTATCAAAGGATTACCAACCAAACAATCCCCTGGACCAAATGGCTTCACTAGAATATTCTACCAAGCATTTAGGGAAGAACTAACACCAATCCTACACAAACTCTTCCAGAACATAGAAGAAGCAAACTCCCAAACTCCTTCTATGAAGCTAGTATAACTTTGATACCAAAACCGGGCAAGAAGCCCACAAGAATCAAGAGTTCAGACCAATATCCCTAATGAACATCAATGCAAAAATCCTTTAACAAAATACTAGCCAAGAAAACACAAATGTATATAAAACAAATAATTCACCATGACCAAATGGAATGCATACCAGGGATGCAGCGATGGTTCAACATACGAAAGACCATTAGCATTATTCATCACACTGAAATGAAAAACTTTAAGAACCACATGATAATATCAATAGATGCAGAAAAAGCGAGACAACATCTAACAGCAATTCCTATTTAAGACACTTCAGAAGATAGGAATGGAAGGAAAGTTTAAGACAATACAAGCTATGTATACAAAACTAACAGCCAACGTGGTAGTTAATGGAGAAAAGACTAACACAATCCCACTGAAAAAGGGGACCAGACAAGGATGCCCCTTGTCCCCATTCCTACTTAATATCATGCTGGAGGTTTTAGCTAACAGCATAAGGCAAATAGGAGACATCAAAGTTATTCGCCTAGAGAAGAAAGAGGTAAAACTATCGGTATTTGCAGATGACATGATTTTATATGTGGAAAATCCCAAAAATTCTACAAGGGGAGTACTGGAGGCAATAGAGTAGTTTGGCAGTGTGGCAGGATACAAGATCAACAAACAGAAGTCCATCGAACTGCTATACATATCGGATAAGAAGACCACATAAGAGGAGATCAAAAGAGTGGTACCCTTCACAATAGCCAAACATAAATTGAAATATCCAGGGATATACCTGACTAAAAGAACAAAAGATCTATACGGGGAAAACTACAGAACACTATTACAAGAAACCAAGGGCAACCTCAACAAATGGAAGAATATCC